AGTGCCACAATACGCATAGCTACAATGTTACTGGCTGCTGTTTCTTATCTCTTAGTTTACTTTTTAACCTTTCCTAGGCTGTACTCTTCAGGGGTTTTAATATGTTGTCAGCCCAGATTGCACTGTGGGGATATTTATGGGATAATAATAGTAAACAGTTGAGAATTGCCCACTAATTCAATTCTCAGATCCCAAAGAACGTTTATCGTAAGTGAGAAGTATTTCATATAAATAATATCACAATGTTATAAAAATAGATTTTATTTTATAATCACAAATTAATTAATAATAATATGTAACATGCGAGACAATAATCAATGAATATCCAGTATAAAATGGTATGCAATACAAAGGAATGGCTATACGCGTTTCAATGGCTAAACAGCATTTCCTGTCAAGACTTCTGATGATTTATGAGGTTTCCTTAACACAGAGAGAAAGCGAAACTTTTCACAGCGAAGGGCCATAAAACCCTGGCTAACAGTTAGAATAACCCTTTCAATGCTGGCTAGATCTCCTAGATAATTAAGATCTATTCTTATGAAATTTTAAATAAAATAACATTTAAACCAGTTCATTAGTCATTTCCTGGAACCATCCAATAAGAGAATCTACCATGATTATATAAGCAGATTTTAATTTGTCTAAAAGATATCTTATCTTATATTAGAGCAAATCAATACACCTGGATAAAAACAGCGGTATGCTAATACGTGATACTATCACATTAATATATATAATTATTCTTAATCCCACCTGCAGAATGGAATGTTTATAACTATATATTCTCTAGTTAACTAAGATTTCTTAATATGGAAATCTGACCGTGCTTTATCCTAGTCATCTATAATGCTATTAACACATTTTAATTAATTTAATTAATTAAATGAAACCAGTATAATTACCAGTTGAGTAGATATTTCATCCGATTGGTAGATAGTCTCAGGAGCTTATTTGGATGTCTGTAGGTGCATGAGTTATGGTGAAAGGTGGTGTTGGTTAGAAAGTCAGTAAAATTCTAAGTGTTAGAGTTTTCAGAGTAGAGTGTTAGTCTCAGATGTTGTCCTGGGTTTCTCTGCATGTCCGAGTTGGAGTCCCCACTTCCAATTCCTCTCTCTCTCCTCTTTTTCCTTTCTTTGCCTTTGCATCCCCCTATCTTCCCTTTGTCCTAACTTTTAAAGGGCCAGACTCTCTGTACGTCATCAATTGATAACCCAATAGAAGCATTAGAGGTGTGGTTATCTTCCAGATCGCAATTTAGTTATTTGATCTATAGAGGGCAGTCTTGTCCCACTAAACATACCTATCCAGGAAAGAGTTAACTTTTCCTGGTGGCTATTTTGACGTCATTTTGGCCTATCTTTATAGTGCCATAACTCAGATTTTCTGTCAGATAAAAACAGTTTCTTTAAGTTTTGTCCAGACTTAGTGTCTGCAATTCCTGCTATAATTTCTGATATGGCAGATCATGAACTAAGTTTAACCTTTTCCGTACAATGGTACCTTACATATATAGAAGTAAAATTAAATTATTTAATCTTCTCTGTCACAAATGTCTGGGTTTAGAATTGATTATATTCCATTAGCATTTTAGACAGTCTATCCAACCCCCGTTCTTCTTATCACTTGGTTTGTATATACTATGCATTCCTTTAGCCCTGGCAAAGTGGTTAGTTTTACAGAAAGAAATCTTGTGTCTTTTTGTTAACTTGGAAATAACAAAATGGAGTCTGCTCTGTTCAGAGTGACTCAGAATATACACTTTTAATTTCTATCATAGCACAAGATGTCTGCCGATATAAATACCCTGACAGCACATACTATCGCATTTTATGTCCACATCATGGTGCCCTATTTCTTCGCCTATTTTCATGGCATTGCCAAACTACGCATATATGCAACGCTACAATATATTTTCTATTATCGCCTGGTTTACTTTTATGGTCATTGAGTCTTTTTTCGCCTACTTAGGCTATGCATTTGCATGCTGTACAATGTCGTATTCAGTATTTACACATATTTTCTCTACCATTGTCTGGTTTCTATAAAACCATTGTCTGGTTTCTATAAAGCGTTGCGGAATTAGTTAGCACTATATAAATACAAATAATAATAATAATCACCTACAAAGGCAATGTTTTCATATTTTATGATCATGCTTTACCTCTGTAGAGGCTTGAAAGATAAAACAATAAAAAAAATTAACACAAATGGTAGATCCTCAGCTGACATAGCATCGCGGGAGTTGTACTACAGATTGGGATTTACCGTTTCGTCATCCTTCCACTAGAGGGAGCCAAAAATCTTGCGCCAGGACCCTCTCAAAAAAAGTTCAGCTATTACCTAGCACAATACATAGCATCAGTTTAAGTGGTATACGCGGAACAGGAGTTTCTATTTCCTGTAACCGGCCGGACTGACAGGAAGTGCACACTCAGTGTACACCTTCCTATCACTCCAGCCGGCCACCGCGGACCGGAGTGCAGCTCGGCCACGCTACAGGGGAGGGGGTAAGAAGAGGGGAGGGGGG